CTGTGACTCTCCACTGTTGGAGAAAGTGCACTCTTTGGTCCTGTGGCCCCATTCAGGGTAGTGCTTAAATGATAACACAGATGAAGACTTTTTATTTCTAAATCTTCTGGTATTTAAAGAGCACTATTTTGTTTGATTTTCTTCTACTTTAGGACTCTCTTTCTAGGACTTAGACAAAGTGTTAGCTTACCTGTTCTCTATGGAATTGTGAGGAAAACAGCAAGTTCTAACACCACAGTGAAAAAGCTGCTGATCACATTACAACTTGACAAATGCTGGGGAGGAAACTTACTATTAACTATAAGAAAATGAAAGGTCTTTGTGGAAAAAGGTTGATATATGCATTTGTATTTTTTGTGGGATCGGGTTTGTATCATGAGGATTGCAAACAACATAACTAGGTCACCTTAAAGCATCATCCACTCAAAGCTGAGAAATTCGAGAGGAAAAAAAGAAAAAATATTCTAGGAGAACCAAGTAAATATATTATGGTAACACAGGTTTCCTAAATTAGTGTACTGTACTGGCTGCATTCCCCTGGCACAGAGCAAAAACTGTCAAATTGTATTTATTTTTATTGAATCCCACCTGCCTCATATTTACTCAAAGAATACAGGAAAATTACAATATCTAAATACCAAAATTATTTTAATTTTCCCTTCAACAAGTATGATGAATGTACAAGGTCTTTAAGCTTCAAATATTACGACAGCTAATATTTTAATATAATTAAAGGCTTAAAAACGCACTAAAGAAATTAATAATTCCCTGACAGCAGAAATGTTCTTGTATTAAGCAAACCACTGAAACAACCAACACTGAAATGCTTCATTTAATTCTGAGATCTTTGAGGTGGCTCTTTCTCAAAGCGTCTGCTATGTTTCAAACTGATGAGCTGCTTTATTAGCTATATACTGTGTATAGTATTATTTTTAGCATAACCCAAAAAAACCTGCCCATTCTGCAACATCATTATGGGACACCAGCCAGGAGAAGGGTATAGTTGCTTTGCCCAAGGGCCTACTATGACGATAGGCTGTACATGGAAAACAGCAAATGCCATGCCATGAACACAGAAAAAATACTCCAAAGCAAGAGCCTCATAACATCAACACTGACCTGGATTAATATCCAGGACAAAAAATAATTAACGTGACTGGAAGCAGAAAACACACAAGACCACGTTTTATCATAGCTCATCTCCACTGTTTTGGATTCCAGTTTTATTTTGAAGTCTAAGGACACAATTTTTGAAGTATTCAAGTATCTTAGAGGTACTTTGGAAAGTCTGTTGAGACTCAGCATGGCAAGTCAGCGTTGTTTTCCATACTTTCAGTGTTCTGGAAGTTACTACACTCATTTAATGGATGTGCTGCTGCTTCCTAACCCAGTCTTACAAAACATTTCCAGCCATGCTGTAATGTCTTAGAATTTCTGCTTCATCAAGATCAGCTGCAGGTTTATGGAATTTAACTCTAAAATTTCAATACTACAAGACTGGCTATTTCACCTATAGTTTTCAAACGGATTCTCACATCTCCCTCTAAAAACCACAACCACCCAACCTTTTATACAAAATAGAAAACCCATGTAGCAACAGCGCACATCATTTTTATGGAATGCAATTTACCATATCTTAGAACTTCCTGCAGTTCAGGATTTAAAGAAGCTATAAATTACTTTGAAACACAGACAAATTGTTTCTGCTTCCACACTGGAATTTTGAATTTCATTTTAATTGCTGATGTACTTACACATGTGCAGTAGTGTAACACACCATCACAGTCCATCTTTGATTTAGCACATTAAAAGAATGTCACTAGTAAGACCAGGACCCCTACAAAATGCTCAGTGCTACCAGCCTCCAAAAATACTTTATTCCACCTTCTTACCTCCCAGTTCATTACAAACATCCCAAGGCACAGTGATTTGCAACATCCAAATAACATGCATTAGCAGTGACATCAGTTGAAGCAAAGAGCACTCATGTTGCTGCTAGATCAGGAGCCTGAATCTTTGCAAATTCCTGCTGTAATTTAGATAATAGGAATGGGGTAGAAACAGTTTCAACACTGCATGCACCCACCTGAAAAACTCCAGGAGTTCTGTTTTTATACTGAACTACCAGGATATCATTAGAATCAATGGAAGGAGATGTACTAAGAAATGCTTTAATTGATTTTCTTTTTTAAACAAATGGAACTGCTTCTATATATCCCTCACATTCCCTCTGGCTCCTCCAGTCTGGCAGCTCTCAGCTAAGAGCAGACAAGCATCTTACAAAAAAAAAATAAAAAATAAAAGCAGCAAGTTTTCCATTCATGTGCTGCCTGCATGCTGTATTTCCCATCTTTTTTTCTACGAAAATAAAAGCTGTGAGAGTCTTCAAGACAAGAAAGTTTCAAAGTGGTAGGTACCTAAAGTGAACTGCAGAAAAATAGCCATGAGGAAATAGGAAAAGAACTACTAAGAAAGAACTCCATTGAAGAGCAGGCAACACACAGCAGCAGAGTTCACGTACACTTCTCAAAACATCATTTTGATCTTTTTCCCACTCCTTGGTTCATTACAAGTACCAAAGAGCAAGGGATGGTGCAGTAGCCATCCCCTAGGCACTGCTGACGACAGCAGCTCCTGAAGGGCAGGCTCCTCGCCACACAGGCACTCTCACCAGCACCAGCAGCCTCAGGGAGACATGAGCTTGGAGGGGTGCAAGCAACACACAAACACCTCTGTGAACTCGGAAGGACCAGGGAGATTTTTCAGCCTAAATATAGCAGCACATTGAAAGTGATGACTGATTACAGTCTGATGATCAGAGCATGTGAAAAAAGACAGTCACTGCTCTTTGGTTCTATTTCTATCTCACATTTCATCTGTGTTTATTTAGCAGAGAAAGGATTACAATACCTCTCTACTTACAAACCAACATTACATCCAGAAGAAAACCGCATTATGATTATCTTAAAAATAACTGGCAAGTCCTATTTGACCTTTAAAGCATATTATTGTATAATTAGAAGACAGTACTCAAAAGTGAGTAACTGTGATTTTGCAGAGGACAGTTACGTTAAAAACATTCATAAAGGCCAACACTGCTATTATAGTACACACCACTTTTCTTGGGTGGCTGAAGGATTTGGCCCTATGCCTCATGTTGCATTCAGTTCCTAGTAAGCAGCAGGGTAGGAGCTCAACTGTATTCAGCACAGGCCCACGTCTGCTCCCACTGCACTGCTCTGAGCTCATGCTGCCTTCCCTTGGAGGAGCTTTTCCAAGTCCTGTTCTTCATGCAAAACCACACAAGTTTACATATATCCCCAGGAAAAAAAAATCCACCATAACGTTAGGACGTTATCAGCTACAACAGAAAACAATTCTTCCTTCAACTGTTTTGTACAAGCTTCCTTCTTATCTTCATCAGAGGTGCTATAATGGTGCTTAATTATTAAACTGGGGAGTAAAAGTTGTGAAAATACCGTTTACATCTATCCACTCTGCATTTCGCTATGAATGGACATTAAGCTAGTTTCCTTTTAGGCTTTTTTATTTGAAAAGCATGAAAGGGCAATCATATATATCGAGTCTGTGGTAGAAAAATAAGGAATAGCTATTTGCTTTGCAGAGAATCATCTGAACTGAATTAAGGAATGAAAATGTCTTTTATTTTTCAGTCCACAAATGGATTAAAAGGAGAAGTCTATTTTGCAAAACTCAGCTTGCAATAAAATTTAAGTAGAGAATATTTAAACCTGATAGATGGTTGCTATTTTTATATTAGGCCAGGAACTTCTCTTTCCTGAATTAATTATGTATTAGTTTTTTCTAATTTTTGGATCACAGACTTCCTGTGATTGTAGAAAACTTATCTGCCTTGGCTGTTGCTTATAACTTCCCCAAACAGCCCCAAATGGAATTAATATGCACTGATTATTTGTAACAAAGCTCTCCAGAACATCCATTTCATTCTGTAGCAATTTGAACAAGTTTTTGGACAATTTATAGAATTTAATTAATTCCCCATCCCCTACCAAGATATGAAGAAGAACAAAGGCAGGTTCTGCCCCCCATTTAGTTTCCTTTTTTTTTTTTTGTAACGGTCAGGTCATCTTACAATTTAATCTCTCTGTCAAAGTCTGACATTACTCTGTTTATTACTGATACTTTGTGTGGAAGTTGCAAGTAAATTTATCAATCAAAACAAAGAAAATGGGTAGCCACAAAGAAAGGGATGGTAAGTTCCACAGGTACAACAGTATAGCTATAGCTCCACACCAGAAATGGCACTTCAACAGAGCATCCATTTCTTCTTTCCCTGTCTTCCCATACTCCTTCCCCAAATCATTTATACAGGAGGGTGTGCAGGGAGACATTTTTTATTTAAAAAAAAAAAAATAGTTCCCCAAGTACCGCAACAGCTGATACTGCAAACAAGCACCCAGCAAGGCAGTTTTTAGTCTTAGTATGATTACTGACCACATAATACTCTTAGAAGCAGCCTCCAGACCCTTCCAGCATGGAAAACAAGAAGCTGTCCTCAAAGCAGTCCTACAAAGAATACTTGGCTATTCTTCCTTTTCATGTCTCCTCACTGGAATGAGACATTTCAGTCCCTCATCCTCTTTAACATACTGGATCTCATGCTACTTTCCTCTTTTAACACCAGCAGCATTTATGACAGCTCAGCTCTTGCACCAGACATCCATTCAGAGACTTCCTCCAGGAAACCTCTCCCCCTTAGGAATGAGGGTACTCCTTAAGTGGAGATGCAGAGGCCAAGCACTGATGCAAATATCAGTCTATACTTACTTTACTCCAAAACCTAAGCCAGAAGGTAAAATGGCACATCCATCCCATGATCAGGTTGCAAAGGAAAATAAAGTGTACCACAAACTAATGGGACAGTGACAATGAAGGGCACAATGTCCTGCAGCTCTGAATATCTGACCTCAGGCACCCCCTGACAAGTTTAATTCCTGTAAACTAAGGGGGACTCTTACCTTTCTTCATCCTTGAAAATAAACTTTCGCAGCTTGAGATCTCGCAGTACCAGTCCACCATCATGGCAGTGTGCAACAGCGGAAGCTATTTGATAGAAGAGTTTGGCTGCCTCCTCTTCTTTAAGCTTCTTGCAGGTACGAACAAACGAATGCATGTCCCCATAGCTCCTTTCAAAGAACACATACGCTTTTGTCTCCCCAAGAATTATTTCAGTAATTTGGTTGATATTTTTATGTGCAGGCAGACAAAAACATGGTGCTAATAACTCCTGGTAGCAGCCAATATCAAACACCTGCAGAACAATGACAGTAAAGCCAGGGTTAGCAACATGAAGGACGGTGAAGTCATGGTACATCTAATTCTATTAACAGAACCATCTCTAAATACAATTTAGGCTGCTGCTGAAACTGCACCGATGTAAACAGGATGTCACAAGCTCACGGTCCTGAGGACAAGACGAAACAGACTGTACAACCCCACAAAAAAGATACTCGTAACCTTGACAGGAAAGGCTAGTCTTCAAAACTGGTAGCAAGCATAGTTTCATCAGCTAACAGATGATGAAATTAAGAATGTAATCTAAATTAAGCTGTGAAGACCAGTGGTGCATAAGGGCAGTACTCAAAAGGAAACATGTTCATCTTTTGTTTTCCATCCAAATAAACTCATAGAAAATACAGCCAGTAGCTTTGTATTGAGAGAAGCTGTCACATTAAATCCACCCTGATACACATGCCTGCCTCTCTTGATTTTATTAACCCATTAAAGCCTTAAGGATTTTCAGCTTTAAAGTACCATCTATTGCTATTCCTATTTACTTCCTGCCTTTCTTTCATCTCTGACAAACAGCAAAGTCACTTTCACTTTCCAAGACTCAGTTCCACAATGGCTGTTTATAAGATCAGAAGGACAACCCGGGAAATAGCTCTGCCTGTTGGAGCGCAGTCAAACACCCTTCAAAAGGCAGAGACAAAACCACCCTGAACCCTCTGTATTTCAATCAAGTGCTCCATTAAAAGCAAAGTGTCCCTTTACTACTAAGTATGTTATCAGTGATCTTATGAATGAGCTGTAAGAATTAAAAAAGCTGCTGAGAAACCCAAATAAAAAGTTACTATAATCTAGTGATGACGAATGAACCAGTATTTGAGTCAATTGAGAAAAGACCACATAACAAGAAAATGAAAGACTTCATTGAGAGTAACAGAAATCAGTGTGCTAAAAGAGACTATGAGCAAAGTATCAATAGGAGTGACTTTTATTTTTAATTATACCTGATCCAAAGGACTACAAAGCAAGGAATTAGCATTTCCACCAGCATAAAAATTCGATTAATATGTAACTTACTGGTGGGTGTTTTCTTACTTTGGTAAAAAGAATTTAAGGTAGTCGTGTTCTTTGAACGGAACATAAAAACAAAGAACTGGTATAGTTCTCTAACCACTGTTTTAAACTGCAATTGGTTTTTCTCTTTCTGTATTCTCGCATTTGTGTACCAATACCAGGTATTTGTATCCTCTCCAAGAAGCAAATCTCTCCTTGCTTTCTCTAAAGCTTTAAAAAGCTTTCAAAACTGAGGGAAAGAGACACAGTTCAACCAAAATTTACCCAAGACTTCAAAACACGAGCCATTTAATGCTTCAGAGCACAATCCTAGCAAACTCCTTCCACAGTAAAGGACTCAAAACCCAGGAAACCAGGAACCTCACACATCTCCCCTCACCCCCTACCTGTGCTGCTATACTCTGGCACAGGGAAAAATAGCCTTAAAGGCAGACTGCCAAACAGTCCCTGCACATTTTACTGGGGGAGGATTAGCACCGAGGCGTTCTGGTGACATGGTGCACCAGGGACGCAGAACCAGGGCAGAGAGGGGGTGTTGCTTAAATCCCTGGTGTGTAATTCATTCCAGAGGAGAATTCATTGACATTTGGATCTCAAAACTCGTAACTACTACATTGTAAGTGAATGGCTCTTCTACAAAGCAGCTGCTATAAAATAAAATTTAAGCAGGAACACTCATGCAACTCAAACCCTCATGTGAAAAAAACTCTTTGCAGAAATCTCTGCTAACCAGATTATCCTGATGTAAATTAGTTACATTTTGTGTTTCTCAAACTATGTTAAATAAGTAGTTTTGGATATGTACCAGTACTGTGTTTGAAAGCGGGTAGACGGAAGCACTATCATACTGCTACAGTCTCGAATACCTTTTATAAAGGGCTTCTTTGTATCCCAGCCTTTAAGATCCCTGGCCTCAATTCAGAAAATGTCTAATAAGCTGCAGTTTGATTTAGTTCTCACTGGGAATTGGAAGTGAGAAGTTACCATTGTTTGGATGCCACAGAGCCTTGAAGCAAATAACGGCATCTGTACAGTCAGTGGGTGCAGCCAAATGCATCTTGAGAATCATCAGTATGTGTCTGTTATCCAACGCAATGTTTCTGCAAGCAATCTCTAGGACCATCTTCAATAAGATACCAGAGAGCAGGTCTCTGCCGGTAGGCTACTTGACAACTAGTTTTCACGATACTGCAGGCATTTTAAAGCATGCATTAAATTAAGCTCAGTTCAGGACTGACAACTATGTGTTCACAAACTAGCAATTCAAGCTAAGATCGTATTTCTGGAGCACAGCTAGTAGTGCCTCGCACATATGGAAAAATTGATACTATTCAAATGTCAGGATCAGCTCAAAAACATACAGTTTAAAGGGAAGGGAAAAAAATAACAGTCCACTCTTTCTGAGCTGCAGTTATGCTGTTCATACTGTTATCAAAACAGTGCCTTAATCCTGCAAACCAAACAGGAAACAAAGAAGCGCATAGCCCCCGCTTCACCACTTGCTATGCAAGTTCACCTAGAATTTCATGCAGAGCAGCAGCTTTGTGGGATCTGTTTATTTCATGAAAAGATGCCAACGTCCTAGAGTGCAGCACTGTACTACTGCATCAAGCTGGGCTTTCATTCTCGAAATTCTCATGTTCTGTTTCAGTTTAGTAACAAAGCATTCAGTTCAGCAGGCAATACTAGTCCTTTGCAAAGTAAAGGGCCTTTTTTACCCTAAATAATCACACAAAGTCCTACGTTGCCTTAACATCAGGTTTTATAACTCAATCAGTAAGCATATTTAAATTGCCCTCTGAACTCCAATCTTTACAAATAGCAAGCAGGAGCAATTATTTTCACTTCTCTGCTACAGGCTAGTCTATAACTTTTTATGAATCAAGTATGAGAAAGCATGAAACAATCAGCAATACTATTATTAATCCCTGGAACACTAATAAGCTATAATACATCGACTTTTCCACCCTGCAGTTAGTTTGACACTAGAAATTTGCCAAATAGCACAATTCTGTGTTTTGGGAACAATACAAACACTACAGCATGTGCAGCAAGGTTGCAATTTGCTACGTAGTTATAAAAACTACTACTGGGTACTGCCTCGGTTTGCTGGACAGAAGTCTGGCTCACTACAGACAATGGGAATCACAATTTGGGAACAAAGGATAACATTCCCTCAGCTTGAAAAGAGAAAAAACATCCCTCCACAGATGTGCACGTATGTGAGTTTCTTTTTCCCACAGCTCACCTTTGAACAGCAGGAGCAAATTGGGAGGAGGCAGAGAAAAGCCAGCAGGCTACAAAGAGTGGGATAGCTATTTTGTCTGCACTTCTAAAAACCGTAGGTGTGCAGGTTTTATTCTTGCTCAGTTGTGCAATGGGGGAGGATGCTGTTTGCAAACAACCTCCACCGTGAGAGAGCTCAGGCTGATTAATTAGATGTGGTTCTTCTTTTTTTTAAATCACTTTTAAGACAAAGCTGATAGCAATTTGCCCTTCGCCCCCAGCTTCTCCATCCTCTTCCATACCCCAACTCACAGAATCCGGGTCAGGAAAAAATCGAGGAAGCCAGCAGGTCGCAACACCTTAAAATTAGCTGGGGATTCCCTACTCCATTTTGAAAAGTGAGAGCAGAGAAGATGAGGCTTTCCCTAATCTGAACTCACGTTAAAACCTATTTCAAAAACGGCTATTTCCAGAACAATATCCCCCGGGGCAGAAGGCAGACCTGGCTCTGGGCCACCGCTATAACGTGGCTATTGTCTGGAGAGAGGGAAAAGTTACAGGATGCGCCTTTAATCCTGTCTCCCTGCCTTTTGTTTCTCCAATGTTCAATAACTGAGGTATACGGCCGTGGTCGCCCTCCTGAGAGATACGGGAAACCCACGCGCGACAGCGGCGAACCAGGGGGGAGAACAAGGAGAAGCATTACCTTGCAAACCAGCTCTTCGCCGCTGTGCAGATGTACGGCTCGGAAAACGTGGTCTCCCTCGAGAGGCTCCAACAATAAGTATTTCCCGATGCAAGAAACGCAATGCGACAAGTTCGGGGTCTCCGGCGGGCTCGGCGAGCCTAGATTCGGGCTAAAACTCTGGCTTGGCTCGATGGACCGTATGGACGAGAGCTCCTCAAAATCCTGGGTTTTATTCCGCGGTCTCCCATATCGTGCTATCGTGATAGGGGTTGACCTTTGTATGTTCATGAGTATGGAGAAGACCAGCCGAGACGCTGCACCGGAGCCCTGGCGTGGAGCGCGGTTCCTCGCCCGTCCAGCTGCGGCTGCCTTTGTGTGGCGGGGGGGGCGGGAGCGGGAGCGCGGCGGCGGCGGGCGACCAGCCTCAGCGCCGCGTCCTGGGCACAGGGAGAGAGCGCTCAGCCCGCGGCCCTTTGTTCCCGCCGCCGGCTGGGCGCGCAGCGGCGCGGAGCGGAGCAGCGCGGCGGCGGGGCAACGGCGCCGGGCACAGGGGAAAAGAGGAAAGGGAAGGACAGAGGAGAAGGGGGCGGCGCGGGGCGGCGCGGCCGGGGCTCGGCGGCCGCCGCTCCCGCGGGTCGCGCAGCGCGGGCGGTAACAAAAGGTCGGTAGCGCGGTGCGCGCAGCGGGACCCTCCTTCCGCTCCCCTACGGCCCGGCAGCGCCGCGCTGCCGCGGCCCGGCTGTAGATGGCGCGGGAGCCTCGCCGCTGGCGCCCGGAGCGCTCCGAGAATGCCCCGCGAAACAGCGAGGGAGCATTTAACTTAGGGGCCGACAAAGGAGAGGGACCGCGGCGGGAGGCTCGGCTGAGCCGCACCGGCACCGGGGGGACCCGGCGGAGCGCGGGGCAGCGCGCACCGCCCCGCTTCGCTCCGCGCCGGCGGAAAGGAGCGTGCTGTCGCGACAGAACAAAAAGTGCAACGAGGGAATAGGAGAGCGCTCCCACGCTCCCCCTGCGCAGCGGATTTGTGAGCAGGGGCTCGCTGCCTTCGCCGCGTTCAATCGGGTTCACGCACAAAGAAAAGAAAAACCAGCGCGGCGAGAAGGGGCCGAGTTCTTACTCCAGAGGCTGGGAGGGCGAGAGGCGAAAAGCCATGGGGGGCGCTCAGTTGGAGTCGCTTAAAAAAATAAATGCAGGGAGCAGATTTTATTTTTTGTTTTCCGCTTTTGGGGGGGGTAGGACAAGGGGAGGAGGAGAGGGGTGGCCGCGCCGCTCCCCTCCACCGAGGCACCGTCTCCCCCCACGACGTATCGGTGACTACTTACGTGGCGGGGACGCTGGCTGCCTCCGTGCTCGCTGCCGGCCGCCGCACGCCCGCACGGTGCCCAGCGCGCAGCCCGACTGCCCCGCCGCCGCGCCCGCCCCGGCCCGGCCCGGCCCGGCCCCACCGCCCACCGCGCCGCGCCCCGCCCCGGCCGCCACGCCCCGCCCCGCTGCCGCCCGCCGCGCTCGGGGTAAACAAGGTGAGACGTCCTTCCGCAGCCCCCCGAGCCCCTAGCTGGGGTCTCGGGGGTGGCCCGCCGAGTCAGGGCTTTCGGTGTGTGTGTGTGTGTGTGTACCGGGGTGTGCGTGTTCACCAGCGCTGTGATGCTGACTGCGGCTCCCCCGCTGACACAGCTCCGGCAGGTCCAGCCTCCTGAGGGATTGCTCTTGCGGTTGGGTCCGAGATGCTTTTGTTAATTTTAATGTCAAAAAAATAAATAAATAGGAATAACGATAATGCTATAGTCGCCCCTAAAAGCAGAGTCCGCCGCGCCGCCGGGCTCGGGGCCGGTGCAGTGTCGCATGTGCGGGCCGGCTTTTTTTTCTCAATGAAGCAATCGGTTTTTTCCGGCCAGCGCCGGTCCCCGAGTAGTTAGAGGTTGTTTCCCGGTGCTGTCGGGTGGGAGGAGTTCTCCCGGCTCCAGACTTGTCTTAATCCGTCCCAAATTTAAAAGGGGGGGTGGGACGGGGTGATGGAGGACGAGTGGGAGACAAGGGGAAAACGTAAACCTTTTCACAGAAAAAGCCATGAATGAGGTCGGTTTGTCTCCGCCCAGCACCACTGCAGGCTGCTGGGTTTTTTTTTTTTTTACTCTGTCCCCTTTTGTTTAAATAACAGGAGTTTGGATATATATTAAAGTTTGATGAGCGGCTCCCTGAACTCCTAACGAGCCTGACATTTAATCCCTAGTTTTTGTATGGGTGTTGGTGGTTAATTCCTTTAAAGCAACAACCGAAAAATAAAACCAAAAACCCCAAACCCAACCCAAGCCAAATACTCACACCTCTTCCCCCCACTAAAAACAGAGAGAAAAAAAAACAAACAAACAAGATGGTAAGAAGAGAACAGGGCTGTGGGGAGAGCACAGCTCTGTCCTGCCTTTGCAGGGTGGTGTTGAGGGGACTGTTCATGTCTTGACTTCTCTTTTCCCACGTCTGCACAGGGGAAGATCAGAAATAGGAGAAGGGTTGTCTTGGGGTGAACACCTGCGGGTTTGGGTGATGCCTCTCTTCAAGGGATAGGAAAAAGTGAGCGTGGTAATAATGAAATAACCCTGATGGAGAAGGTTGTCCTGGAGGTGCTTCCTTTGGGACAGAGAGAAATTCCTCTGAACAGGGCTCCAAAGAGACTGTAGGGATTTTTCAGTCCGGGGCTGGTGTTGGCAGGGGAGGCTTCAGAAGTGGCTATGGTGAGGGGTTGCTGTCTCTCCACAGCACTGCATCAGCCTCATGTCTTGTCCTCCACACTAAGAGCTATACTTACCCTGTTATAAGAAGTTATGAGATAAATTTCACTAAGAAAGGGTTGTCATGATCTTCAGTTTGGCATGGAGAAGCTGAGCCTCTGACAACAGAGAATATTTGACCTTGTGAATGTCACTCGAGTACTGAGGAAGAACGTAGAACCAATGATCTGAACAACCTGTAGGATGACCTGCAGACCCAGTATTTGCTATTTGCTATAAAATGAAAAGGTGTTTTCCTCCCTTTCCTCACTTATTCCCATCACCTCTAAATACTCTGTAAGTTTTCAATACCATTTTTAGAAATGCGATGAGCAGTTCTGGATACTGAATCCTTGCAAATAAGGACAAGCCATAAAGTTATGCAATACATTCTCCACTATCACATCCTGTGATCCAAATCAAATATTCTTTTCTTAGTAGATGGCTTTTTACACAATTTTCCCTTCCTCTCCTGCTGCATGCTCCTTCTGACTATGACAAAACATGAGACACCCAGGCTCTTGCATCAACCTTTGTTCTCTAGATAAATACTTTCCGTTTAACTTTCTTAATAACCAAGCATCAGCTGGAGCCAAAGTCCCTAGCACCTCTGGAAAGGCTACCCAGAGCATCCAAGCCCAAAAAGAGAAAGGAGTGAAAGGAGAAAGGGATGAAAAGTCTAGTTTGTCCTAAGGCTCTGGTTGGAAACTCCTGATTTTTTTCAGGAGTTTCCAACCAGAATCGTGATCCAAGTCTGAAGAAGTGATTCAGGGTAGAATGGGATACACTTCCCATAAATATTAAAGTTTGGAAGGAAGAGATTATAAATTTTGGGTTCTAGATTTAATTCTACCCTAAGAGGTATAGAAGGATACATGTAGTGCGAAATGACAGTCATCTATTCATGTGGTGAGTTTACTCTTTCAGAATGTGTTAATTATTTCATTCCTTTTTCTATTTCATCCTTCCCCAAACCTAACACTTTGTAAACTTTGCTTGTGCTCTCAGATATGTCGATGAAAATATTGCCATTTTAGTCCAAAGTTAAAGGAATAAGCTCTGAATGAGTAAACCACTTTATGTGCTTCATAGAGGCATTAGGTGTACATAATCCTCTGCCTGTTGTTTTAGTCTAGGTCTGTGTCATTCAGCTGAAGTTGTAGAGCTAGGTCAGCATACAGCATGTGAGATGTGAGAAGGAATCAGGTCATAAAAGTCAGATCAAAATCTGAAGACTAAGTCAGCAGTGAAGTTATGCCTAACACTTACCAGTCTCCCGTAGCTGTGGTGCTTAACCAAATGAGAAGACGTGTGACTTGAGACACATCAGCCACAATGTTGGGGCTAAAGGGATGCAGTTGGCCGGTCCAAGCTTAAATGTCATGTTCACACTATTTAGAAACTCTTGTTTGAAATAAACTGTGTTGGTAGTGGCAAATACTGTTTCATTATATTTTCTCACTCAGTGAGAGAAATTTTCTGAATATGCACTGTAAAATGCTTACTGAATCAATAGTACCAAAGAAGTAGCCAGCAGAATGGCATATGACAAAACTATCATGGCTCCCCATGATCTTTCTTTAGACACATCAGAATGAAGATTGCCTTCTTTGCCCCTAGTGAGTTGGGAAGGATTCCTTTTAGGACTGTTTACTGAGTGACTTTTGATCTCTGGACTTCATTGTGCTGATCTACCTTGTCTGGAAACTGTCACCAAGAGAGACAATCCAATTAGAAGTTTCTTTATCTTTTAAAAGGACTCTGCAAATATCCACTTCTTTGATGACATTGTCCATTACTATAGTGCTGAGTTCCCTCTCTGGAATGTCTCTTTTTGAATGAAATGCAGTTGGGGGTGTGTTTTTCCTGGAGCCTTATTTTCCTTTTTCCTATTCTTCGATATCCCAGAAGAGTCTATGGAGAAGGACTTAGATTTTCATGCTATGGAAAGTATCCACCAAACTCTCCTCTATTCTGTATGCATGGTTTATCTGCAGGTAAAAAGCAAAAATAGGTATAGAAATTGGAGTTTCCTGTTTCAAAGACTAAGAAAAAATTAAATGAAAAATGTATCATAAATCTGACCTTGTGCAAAGAAAAGTATCTTTTTCTGTAACAGTGACTTTCAATCTGTTTTCTTTTAACATCTGCTTTTGCGAATATGGACGCTGTGTGGACAGGAGCCAATCCTCCCCTTCAAGCCAATAGCTGTCTTTCTTCCATTGAGGTCAATGAGCTTAGATCAGAGCAAAAGTCTTGTGAGTGATCAAAGACAGTTCTACATTTAAAAGACTTCCTTTTCCAGGTCAGTCTGCTCCTTGTCCCTTTACAGAAAATATATTATCAGCAATGTACAAACACAAGCTAGAACAAAAAGGATAATAATTTTTGAAGTGGTAAAAGAAAGACCTTAATTTTATTTTTTGCTGATTTACAAAGTTTAGGGCTGAGCCTAATGGGAGCATTAAACAACTATTAAATGTTGAGAACTGTCATATTGAGAAGACAGTCTAATTTCAGCAAAATTAATCTAAGTAGCTAGCTCAAAATATGCTTGCAAGTACCTCCCCAGTAGTTGTCAAGGCTGGATCCCCATGCCAACTTGGATATATTTTTTCTATTTTTTGCAATAATTTTTGGTTATCACTTACACTAGAACTATAATATGTGAGTAAGGAAGGCTAAGGAAAGTGGTAAATCATGGGACAGTAAAGGGACAAGTCTTTTCTCTGTACATCAAAAAGGGCAATTCAAAGACATGGAAACAAGCATCTGTTCTTTAAAAAAAAAATCTCATGAATCTGACTTTTGGTATCTGAGTCCATTTTTTTTTATTAAATGAGTTACTCTCAAGAGGAACAAGAAATGTACCATTTGCATGAACTGCACGTATGGGACTTACGTGTGTGTGAAATAAGGATACAGTAAAGTATGTAAAGATAAATACCTATGTGCCATATCTGCAGTCAGAGTCAAGCCTTAGGCTTCATTCTTCACTCAGAAAACAAAAAGAAAAGGTGTTATTGAATAACTCAGTGCAAGATTTACAACCAACTACAGTGCAATAAAAAAAAAACCTCCAAAAAGTAATTTATGTACAGAAGCCAGTTAAATGAGATAGAGAGAAGCAGGTCCAACATTTCTGCAAACTGCCTTCTAGTTATATTGTACAGAAATTGTAAAGAAAAAAAGCTGTTAACTGAAGTGTTTTGAGGTTTGTTTTCAGATGTTTATTCATCTGAGACCTAAGAAGTATCTTACTTGTCCTCAGAACAAATCTCTGAGTATAGGAGAATGTTCTGCCTAAGAGGAAAGCAGTCCTCAGCTCTGGAAACAGTGACGTTTGTCTCTGGTTCAGGATCCCAGTTATTAGATATTCCAAAGCAATAGTATTACATCCCAAGATCTTAGCTGAAGCTGTGACCACAGTATGTTCCCAGTCTAACCATTCATGGTAGTTTAGAAATCTCCATCTGTATGTTGGATGCATTGCTGATGGTCTCAGATAACATAAGCAAAAGCAAATTGACCTTCTAAATCACAACACTGCCCTCCAAATCTGACTGTCAAGGCTGTGGGATGTTGGCTCCCCCAGTTAGACCTTACATTTTTCTGTTACCGCTGACTCTCATTATTCACAGATGGCACCAATCCCAGAAATTAAAAAGTGGTTGTGTTATGTATATCCATATCAATGTTATCCCTTGCTAATGGAAATGAATCTTACATGTGGAAATCTCTTCTGAACATCCCCCTCTTTTAGCTTTATGAAATTACTGAAGGAAAAACACTCCCTCACAGGTCAGATGTAAGTGCCACGTCTTTTGTATTTCCCATATTTTAAGCTATACTGGTATTGCTAAGAGAAGAAAAAGCCAGGGGGCTTATTTCTTTTGTAATGGGCCTGATGAGTACAGCACAGCCATGGTGGT